CCCCCCTTTGTTCTTTCCTCCAGCTGCAAATTACCGTAGACTTGGTTCTTTTTCTGATTATTTTAATCTTCAACATTCTAAGCATAAATCCCACCACCACAGTTCCTTACAACTGTCCCTGATTATCAAGCTGCTCCTTTCATTAACTTCTTTATTATCGGCAATTAGCACATTGAAGCATCAGAAGGCACGTACACTAATAAAATGCAGCCTGCACTAATGCAATCCATTTCATTTCCAAATTAAACATGACATTGATATTACATGCTTTCTACATTGGGAAAGTAGAAAAATGGGCTGGATATCGCTAAATATAAACAGGACAATTTTTTTAAAAAAACCCAACAACTACATAGTTCTATATCCAAGGTCTTCAAACTTGGCAAGTTTAAGACTTGTGGATTTCAACTCCCAGAATTCCTGAGCTAACATGACTGGAGGAGGAATTCTGGGAGTTGAAGTCCACAAGCCTTAAAGCTGTCAAGTTTGAAGACCCCTGTTCTATAGTATAGTAACTGTATTAAATTATAAAATACAATAGATGAAGTTTGGATAACTTATGATGGTGTCATATAATAACCATGAAGATTGGTCTTGATGAAGGCTTTGTAAGAGAAAGTTGTATAATTTTCTGATAGCTCCCCAAATCAGAAGGCGTTTGGGAGGCTGTTTTCAGACTTAGAGTTTATGAAGAGGTGTTGGCCTGAACTGTGGCCTGTGCCTCTTGATAACAGTCTGAAAAGGTGCCCCCAGGTTCCTTATGGAAGGTTGTCACACAGTTTAGACAGATACCAGATTTTATCAATTCATGTGTCAGGGTTCCAAGTAATACACCCATAATGAACAGAACTCTGAGGCAGGCAGATTCCTTACAGAAAAGTTTTATTGGATATATCATGTTGGCACAGGCTGGTGAAAATTGACTGAATATTCCCATGGTTTTTACCTAATTAAAAGTTTTCTCCCCTCCTCAAACAGTCACATGGTTCAATCAAGTTGCCCTCTGGTTGCCTGGTAACTTCACTCCTCTCTCCGACCACCTGTGGGAATGTCCTTAGTTGCCAGGAGAAACTATTTTGTTTTGGCTACGAAGTCCCAGTTATCTCTATTCCCCCCCTCCCTATCCCTCAGCTCAACTCCAGTGTGGCAACACTGAAGGCTCAAAATGGCCTCCGTCAGATCAGCTTCAGGGTTGATATCATGTTTGTTTGGAAGTTTCACATTCCCTCCCATCCTCCCCCACCTGCAGATGCTGTCCACTTGTCTTTCGGCTTAGGAAAGAAACAGCTTTGTTTCTAAACCAGTTTTTTTCTCAATCTCAGCATTTTTTTTTCAAGAAGTGGATTGCGACTCTTAGAATTCCCATCAGCATCTATGGTTAACATCCATCGATTGCTCTATCCAGTATTCTGGATTAATGCATGATGCACTGAAATATCTAATCCCATGGGCTGAGTTATTTATTCTTTTATTTAATTACATTTATTTCCCACCTGTATTATACAATAACGCAAGACACATCCAACACACCTTCCTCCTCCTATCTTCCCCAAACCCACCCTGTGAGGTGAGGGTTGGGCTGAGTCTCATCCAGCTGGCTTTCATGGCTAAGATAAGACTTGAACTCAAGGTTTTCTGCTTTCTAGTCTGATGCCTTAATCCAGAGGTCCCCAAACACGACAACTTTAAGCCTTGTGGACTTCAACTCCCAGAATTCTGGGAGTTGAAGTCCACAAGCCTTAAAGTTGCCAAGTTTGGGGACCTCTGCCTTAATGACTGGGGGGTGGATAAAACGTTTTTCCATCACGTTTGAGACGGTTCCCAGCGAAGGAAGAGAGAAATGCATTCCCACCCCGAGCAAGGAAGTATTATATTTACAACTGAAAGGAGGCCCTACCTACCTGTCTTGTCTGGATCCTGGGTGTTTTGGGTTATAATGTAACTGTACTGCTGGTTTAGCCTGGGGGACCGATCCTGGTGTGACTTTTGGGGAGATTTTTTCCGGCAACGTAAGCCTTCCCGGATCCCTGACTTTGCTGATAAAGGATGGATGGAGAAGTGATCCTGGCCCAAGTAATGGAGATACGGCACCTCTTTAATTCCGTTTTTGTCCAAGTTCAGCTGCTTTAGCCTGAGGAGAGAAAAAAATATAAGTTCGCTGTTTATTACGGCGCAGCAAATTTGGGGGGGGGGGGGGGGGCAACCCGTTACCCCCGTCTGCCATCCCCCATCTCTTGCAGAAAGCTCGAAAATTACGTGGAAGTCATTCCGTTGGGGGGCACCAGCATGGGAAAGTCGGTAGAGATCAGGAGTGGGACTCTATCTGGTCGGTCCAGTTCTACAGAACCGCTTGTTATGATTCTGCCCGGTTTGGAGAACCAGAAAATCACGCCACTGGCTGGCTCCGCCCACTCACTCCTTACCTGGCGTGCGCGCCGTCAAACTTGCCTGCTAAGTTGCTATTTTAACCCTAACCCTAACCCCTAACCCCAGGGATTTTTAAATACTATATAAAAGTAGACACGAGAATATTTGAAGAAAAATGAAAGAAATTAAGATATGAACAGAAAATATATATATAAGGGTGAAGAATGTAAGAACGTTTGAGAAAACGTATAGAAATTATAAACAGAATGATATGATGTGGAATTGAATGCGAAAGATGAATATGTCACTAAGGTCATGTTTCTCTGGAAATGTAAAAACCTGGAAACCACTCTGGTTCACTAAAAGAGGCATTTTTTGAAATATAAAAATAAAAAACTTTTTACCAAAAAAAAAAAAAATACAGAATAAGAGAGTTGGAAGGGACCTTGGAGGTCTTCTAGTCCAATCCATTGCATAAGCAGGAGACCCTTTAACAGAGGTCTTCAAACTTGGCAACTTTAAGACTTATGGACTTCCACCTCCCAGAATTCCTGAGCTAACATGACTGGAGGAGGAATTCTGGGAGTTGAAGTCCCCAAGTCTTATAGCTATCAGGTTGGGAGACCCCTGGTCTATCTCATCTATCTATTGATCTATCTATCTCTATCTTCTATTCATTCTATCTATCTATCTATCTATCTATCTATCTATCTATCTATCTATCTATCTATCTATCATCTGTCTGTGTGAAGGGTCTTCAAACTTGGCAGCTTTAAGACTTATGGACTTCCACCTCCCAGAATTCCTGAGCTAACATGACTGGAGGAGGAATTCTGGGAGTTGAAATCCACAAGTCTTAAAGCTATCAGGTTTGAAGACCCCTGGTCTATCTCATGTATCTATTATCTATCTATCTTCTATCCATTCTCTATCTGTCTGTCTGTCTGTCTGTCTGTCTGTCTGTCTGTCTATCTATCTATCTATCTGTCTATCTGTCTATCTGTCTATCTATCTGTCTATCTGTCTATCTATCATCTATCTATCTATCTATCATCTGTCTGTCTGTCTGTCTGTCTGTCTGTCGGGTCTTCAAACTTGGCAGCTTTAAGACTTGTGGACTTCCAACTCCCAGAATTCCTGAGCTAACATGGCTGGAGGAGGAATTCTGGGAGTTGAAGTCCACAAGTCTTAAAGCTGTCCAGTTTGAAGACCCCCCTGCCCTAGACCATGTCAGACAAACGGCTGTCCAGTCGTTTTCTTAAAAACCTCCAATGATGGAACACCCACAACTTCTGGAGGCAACTTCTGTTCCACTGGTTAATTCTTCTTGGCTGTCAGGAAAATTCCTCCTTAGTTCTAGGTTGCTCCTCTCCTTGATCATTTTCCATTCGAAAAGCTATTTGTTAGGGTTCTTTAAGAGGATACAAAGTGGTCCGGTCTCGCCTACCTTCGAAGATTGGCCAAACTGAGGAAGACAGTCGAGTCGGAGAGTTGATTGTCGTCTAGAAGCAAGACCTCTAACGCTGGGAACCTCAGGCAGTTACGGCTGTTGACGAAAAGAGAAAATATCTACTGGCCACTTTAATCCTCCTATCTTTGCTGTTTCTCCTTCCTTCCTTCCCTTTTACTTTCTCACCTCCTGTTTCTTGGGGGAACCGAGACAAACATCTGTCAGAGTATTCATGAACTGGCAGAGACATGGTTAGCAAAGTCAGCCAATGAGAGCTGAATTGGGGGCTGAGAGTCTGGGTGTGGCTTAGCTCGGGATGCTCAGTGCTGAAGTGAAACCAACTTGCTTGCCTGCTGAACTAAAGTAAAGTAATCTGTTCTGACCTCCTGAGCTGCTATTTATGTTTTGCTTGTAACATTTTTCAAGGTTGGAAGAAACCACCGGTTCTTCAATATTTCATTATGTATATGAAGAAGTAAATGAATCCTGCAAAAATCAGTCATCTGTGCATTTTCTAGACTTGAATTTCTGCTGCAAACTCTCACAAAATCCTCGTTTCATCTCCAGAGGAAAACCCACTCAAGTCCAAACAGGAATTCTGGGTTACATGGAAAACGCTCCTGCGGCAGTCCTACCTACTTCTCTTTGCTGTCATCGCCGAAGATAACTTTGGTGCTCTTGGAGCTTGGCGGTTTTCTTGCAGACGTTTCCTGACCCAACTAGGTAACATCATCAGTGCCGAAAGGGCGTGGGGTTTGCAGGGAGGAGGAGGAGGAGGAGGAGGACAATGACTGTGGAGATCCTGGTACTCTCTGAACCTGATCATTTTCTTACAGATGCTTCATAGCCCAACAAGGTAACACATCCTGGTCCCTTCCAACCCTATGATTCTGATAGATAGATAGATAGATAGATAGATAGATAGATAGATAGATAGAT